GTCGGTGTCAAAAATCTAGAAAAAATGCTCCTTCCAGTCCCTATTGGACTCTGGAGCGTCCGAAACGAATTTGAAGCTGCTAGTGTAATGGAAGAAATAATGCAGGTCCTTTCTTATTGAGTTGATGCCGACCAAATGCCCAAGCAACTTCATGCTTGGTAGGACACCGACTCGGTGGTAGATAACTATGAAAGCCACCAGGACCCCAACGACATTGGGGCAGAATTGAGAAGGAGAAACCCCCATAGCGATGAACGCGTCCCTTATGAAGGGATGAAACAGTAGCCGGAGCCCATGCCCGAGGTGGGCCAAATATAGTAGCGTTGTTATGCCCATGGCGGTACACCGGATCATTCCCGCTCGGCGCCACCAGTGTGAAGGATTTTGGGATGTCGTAGAGCCTATAGTACTCTTCATGACTCCCAATCAAAACCCTCGAATGGATAGGCTGGAGAAGATTAATCCTCTCGTCATTGCAGCCACCGACAAAACTTTGAGAAGCCATGAAAAGTTTTTGGTTGCGAAAAATTTGAGAAGTTTTAAGAGGAAGAAGCACTGGAGATTTGGAAGCAAGAACTGATAAAAAGTTCTTCTCTCCCCTCATTGGGCTATTTATAGCATTCAAGGGACGTGTGGAATTAATCGGGCGGTTGCCTCGTTTCAAAGTGAACGGGTGAGATTCATCTCGAAATCTCAAACATCCATCATGAGATTCGAAGCATCATTCCCGTTTTAATATGTGTTTGTTCGCTCGAAAACTGACGTGTCAATATTAATTTCTGACAACTAACAAAGCATCATGTCGTTTCGAACAGTGACATTTCATATGCCCAATAAAGGCTTTTAGAAACTCACTAAACAATATTTATTAAACAAGTAGTCGACCATGTCCTAGTTGACCCTCGGCAGCCGACAACTAACTTTAAGAAACTTGCTCAGACACTCATCTCAAGACATTTAGACGCCGACTAGCAAGTGGTTAAGCTTCAATTGGGCTGAACATATCTTTACTTGAGCTCGTATTTATTTTATCTATTTTTCCTACAAAATATGGGGAAAATAATGTTAATCATTTATTTGCCATGAAACTTATTTGAAATATGGGTGTAAAATAAAACATGATAATCATAGTGGCAATATAGTTAGGATTTCATCTTGTGAGAGTTTGAAGTCATATGAGGGGGAGTTTTAGTGAAATGTCCCTCCTTCTAAATTAGGTGCAAAAACAATGAGAGTGATGCATTGAGAGGGCAAGCACTGGTCTCCTACTTGCGTCCCTTTTTTGGTCCATCTTATGAGGACATCCAGATCTAGACTAGGACTCGGATCAGTTCCCTTCAGTCTTCTTGCCACTGGAGGGCTCAACTTTTGTAGGTTCCCTTCATGTCGTTCTTTTATTGGGGTGACTATATTCCGCCTCCATGTGTGATCTCGAGCTCTGGCCATGAGTTGGTCAAAGTTAACCATGAGATTCATGATGAGTGAGTAAGATAGTTTTTCATCTTCCAACCTTGAGATTATTGCTACCATTGCCACCATATTGCTGAGGTCTTCTACCTCTATTTAATTGGCTTGGAATCTTTTGGAGTATTCTTTCATAGTTTTGTCAAGCCTCTATTTGATCTGCAATAGGAGAGCAGAAGATTCCTTCTTTTTTATGTCCATCAAGATGTGGTGTACAAACTTCTGCCTAAGCTGTTCATAGTTGTGGATGGACTTCCTTTCTCAAGAGTTCTATCACATCTCCTTTCTCAAGAGTTCTATCACATCTTGGTACTACCACTGTCGGTGATTGCAAAAGCTCTGCAGATGATCGGATCAGTCACATATTGCATGCACATCAAGTCAAAGAAATTATATGCATGTTCAGCTGGGTCGCCTTCATCTTGATATTTATCAATGTGTGGCATCTTGAATTTAGGGCAAGGAGCTTTCATTGTTTCATATGAGAGAAAAGTACTTTCTTTGATGATGTTGGTCACTATGTTGAATATTCAATCATAATAAGAAGTTAGGTTGACCGCAGAGGGGTTTGCCCAGGCCACCAGGGTTTGGGTCGTATAGAAATATCTTACTCCTCACAATGTCGTCCGTGCGATGTGACTAGGACTGTGGCTTAAACTTTCACTTGCCACCTCTAAGTGTTGATGAGTCTATCAGGGATCGACAATGAAGCGGGCTTAATACAGTGATGGTTGGTGGGTGGTCTCCCTGATCCACTCTTCATCCTCCTACCGCCGATGCTGCCCTTCAAGGAAAGGGGTGGCAGGTGATGTGGGAGGCTGAAAAGGAAGAATGCTGCTGTGGAGCTCATTTGCAAACAAAGCGAACTATTGTTGGAGTGATTATGCTATCCTTTGGGAGGATTCATCCAGTTGAGCCTGAGAGATATAGCCGGAACTGGAAGACTCTCTGGGAGTGTATGAGTTAGGGATCAGAGGGCAATTAGGATCAGCCATTTTCTCAACAGAAGAAGATGTGGCCCCATGGTAGGCGTCAAACTATTTATGTTAGAAAGTTAATTGCATGAGCGGGGGATATTTGGAGGAGTTTAGGGTACTTTAATCTTTTATGATGACTGGTTGATCAGAGGAAAGAAGGTCTCTGCACAAATCACATGTTAGAGGGCTGAAGGAGGTTCCCCTAACGTGCCATCCGATGTTCAAGTCAGTGATAGATAAAACAAGCTAGAATGCATAATCTAGTTTAAGGTTTGATCCAGCATACCTTAGTGTAGTGGGGTTAAGCACTATTTATAGAGAATTCATGGTGGCACAGTAGTAATTTGATCCTTACGGTGGAGCCGATGTTCTAATTCCACTTTACATGCATCGTCAGCCGGTTGAGCGAGTATAAAGGGACATTAGCGTTACATTTAATGTGACAACGACAGAATGGCGGAAGTGCCGGTGATGCTCTTGAAGTAATTATGACTTCAGCCCAAGGAGTCATAATGGCTTTGGCCATGCATCTAATGCGATGGCGGCTGGGTAGCAAAGTGTGTGTGTCGACTGAACATGCTTTTAATACGATGGCGACTAGTAAGCAAAGTATGTGTTGACTGGCCATGCTTTAAATGTTATGGCATTGATGAGACCAATGAGACATTCGGTCTTTCGAGACATTCCTTAGTGGAGTATGAAACAATACGTCTTTCATCTCAGACTCAAATTTCTGTGATAGATCCCCACTTAAAGATGTCGTCTCGGACTCAGATGGGTAAAGAGATCAGCGGTGCTCACAACTGGGTAGAACTTTCAGATTATATGATTCGGCCCTTTAATATGACACATAGCAAATTCTTAAAGGGTTCATTAAACTTCGTGATTTTTGAGGATACAATTGATATATTATGAATAATTATTATCAAAATCATATGTATTGTGCTTAAAAAAAAACAAAACGAATCATATGTATTGTTTTCCTAATACGCCATCTCTATCAATCCTTAATCACTCGAATGTATACGGATGGACGTTTTAGACGTTGAAAACAAACACTTACTGACGTCAGTTAAGGGCTGTTTGTTTGTGTTTTATAAAAGGATAAATTTTCAAAACAGTCCCATTTACAAAAATATTCCCAAAAACGATCCGTTTCAACAATATTCGTCAAAATCGACCTAGTTTCAACCGTCGGGTTGAAACTAGGTCGGTTTTGACGAAAAAAAATAAAACTTCACAGGGCTTGAAGTCCCGTGAAGTTTAGCAGTCATGTTAAATGGCTGCTAAACAAACTTCACAGGGCTTGAAGTCCCGTGAAGTTTAGCAGTCATGTTAAATGGCTGCTAAACTTCATTGAAGTCCCGTGAAGTTTCATAGTTCAAAACAACTTCAGAGCTGAAACGAAATTTACGGGATTTAAAGTCCCGTGAAGTTGAAGTCCCGTGAAGTTTGGGAACTTTTTTTTATCAAAACCGACCTAGTTTCAACCCGATGGCTGAAACTAGGTCGGTTTTGACAAATATTGTTGAAACAAGTTGTCTTTTGGAAATATATTTGAAAAATGGTCGGTTTTGAAAATTTGTCCTTTATAAAATGGTGGAAAGTTGTTGTCCTTATCTGAAAACAAGATATACGGAGTTAATACATAGAAAGGCAATAGTTTACATTTACAGTTTTTTTTTTAATTTCTTGGTTCGAGTCTTCATTCCAATGAGATTTTTTGCACCTCATGATTCGTTTAGAATAGAGAGCTTGGATTCCACATGCACACCAGTTGTTTGTTAGATTGTCTATTAATGGGTGCCGAGGGGCCGCAACATATCACATGATGATGAGGGAATATATGACGCTTGACATGATACAATTCATTTTCAGGAATTGTAGGTACACATGTTATTTACCTACCGAAGTTTCATACCTGACCAAAAAAATTCTCCAAATTACTAGTGCATAGGCCTTTTTTCTTTTTCTTTTTCTTTTTTTGATATAATTCTTTAAATTACTTTTTGACTTGGAAAATTATGCGATGACTGAAACTGAAAAAGGAGATAATATTGGAAAATTTTAGGAGAGACAACAGGAGACATAGACTAGTAAACTTGTGTTTATGAGGCCCGCTTGTTCCTCGTTTGTGGATAGCATAACTACCTCATTCTTGAGTTTTGTGTTTAGCCCTATAGATCGATATTCCTTAAAGTTATTCTTATGCTTTGGGATGTAAATCTCCTAGAAGCTTTTTGTTTCTTTGTTATTATTTTCAATCAAATGAAATGCCAGTGTACTTTCTTGTAAAAATTTGATTCATATCAATGCCCCTTCTTACGTGAGCCATCTCAAATTGAGTCCTACATCCACATCCCATTCTTTTCAAACGTCTATGGCCGTCTGTCTACAGGCACCAAGAAGTTACATTGCTTATTAGCTACATTGGTGTCATTGGGCTTCAAAGCACGCGTCTCGTGTCATTCCAGAGCATGATTTATATAAGTCCCTTCGCAACACCAAGGAATCATATAAATGTTTATCCTTCTTGTGGTTTATGCAAGTCTTTTTGTGTCACGCGCATCTCCTATTTCCTTCAAGTTGAATGTGTAGGGCTTTCAACTCTTTAAAGTGTTTTTTCTCATTTCCTGATAACAATATCTCACATCCATGCAGATTAAGAAGGTTTCTGAAGTAGCCTTGAACCGTTTAACATTGAAAACAAATACTTTCATTGGTATGCCAAGTGATTGATTTAAGTTGAAATAGAAACCCTAATCTTATTCATGAGATAACATGGGTTTATATAGGCCCCTACAACTTACAAATAAGCCCATAAACCTATTAATATTTCAACACTCCTCCTTAAGATGGGCGAAAGATATCCACTAAGCCCATCTTGTCACATCCTCTAATCATATCTACTGAGCTAAGTCCCTTAGTCAGACAATCTGCTGCCTGATCCTTAGTTGGAACATGACTTAACTCCAGTAGTCCATTGTCCAACTTCTCTTTGATGAAGAACCTATCGATCTCGATGTGTTTGGTTCTATCATGCTGCACTGGGTTGTTGGCGATACTGATGGCTGACTTGTTATCACACCACAACTTCATCTTGGCTCCTTGATCCAGCTTCAGCTCCATCAACATACTCTTCAACCACAACAACTCTGTAACTCCTAAGGCCATGGCCCTATACTCTGCTTCAGCTGTTGATCTCGCTACCACCGATTGCTTCTTGCTTTTCCACGAGACCAAGTTGCCTCCTACAAAGATACAATATCCTGAGGTGGATCTCCTGTCATCAGCACAGCTAGCCCAATCAGAGTCGCAATAACCCTCGATGCTCATGTGTTCATTCTTCCTGAAGATTAGCCCTTTTCCGGGGGCATTCTTCAAATACCTTAGTATCTGGTACACTGCGTCCATATGACCCTTCATTGGATCATGCATGTAGCGACTCACCACGCTCACTGCAAAAGAGATATCGGGACGTGTGTGACACAGATAGATCAACCTGCCTACCAGCCTTTGGTATCTGTCACGATCAACTGGTTCTCCAGCTTCAGTACCCAGCTTAAACTTCTGGTCGATCGGTGTAGTTGCAGGTTTGCAACCTAACATTCCTGTCTCCTTAAGAAGATCCAGTGCATACTTTCTCTGGGATAGGACGATCTCCTCCGCTCCTCGAGCTATCTCTATTCCAAGAAAGTATCGAAGCAAGCCAAGATCTTTCACCTCGAATTCCTTACCCGGCCAGTCTCACTTTGAGTTGGGCAATCTCCTTCTCATCATCCCCTGTAATAATCATATCATCCACATATACCGCAAGTATGGTAATGTGGCCTCCACTCCGTCGAAAGAACACGGTTTGGTCGGCGTTGATCTGTTGGTACCCCATACCAATCATAGCCCTTCTGAATCTGTCAAACCAAGCACGAGGAGACTGCTTCAGCCCATAGAGAGACTTCTTCAATCCGCAGATCTTTCCTACTGTCTGATCTGTATCGAATCCTGGTGGTATATCCATGTATACCTCCTCCACTAGATCTCCATGAAGAAATGCATTCTTCACATCTAGTTGGTGTAGCTTCCATCCACCATTTACTGCCAGAGAGAGTAAGGTCCGAACAGTGCTCATCTTTGCCATCGGTGCAAAAGTCTCATCATAATCGATGCCATATGTCTGACTATACCCTTTTGCCACCAGACGAGCCTTGTAGCGCTCAACTTGTCCATCTAGATTCTGCTTCACAGTGAAGACCCACTTGCACCCAACTGCTCTCTTCCCTTCTGGTAATTTTACTAACTCCCAAGTGCGGTTCTTCTCAAGAGCTCCTAGCTCCTCATGCATAGCTGCTTTCCACTTTGGGTCCTTCTTAGCAACCTGCCAATTGTTAGGTACAGTAACAGAGTCCAATAATGCAATGAATGCTCCATATGTAGGGTGGATATTAGAATATGATACAAACTGGGCAAGATCTCAACCATATCTATCGGGAGGATGTCTCGCATTGCTGCGAGTAGTTCTCCGTACTGACATTGGTGTGGGAGGAGTAAGGAGAGGAATGATATCACCTTGGGAGGAATCTGATGGTGGTATAGGTGTCTCAGGAGTCGGGACAGGCATTGATAAGGGACCTGACACTAGTGGCACTGTAAGTACTGTTTCCGCAATTTGCTTCCCCTTCCTACTATAGGTAAGTAGCTCTCCCCGAGCCGTGGGCCTAACACCTCTTGTCTCCTTATCCTCTTCTTCTTTATTCTCCTGCTCCTCCTCACCCAATTCTCCTTCCCAAGGAATCGTTAGAGAAATCGATTTCTCCACATTATTCATCTGCCTCTCACCATTTTCCCCTTCTCGCCTCATACTTCTAGTATTAGGCGAGTCACCAACGGATGAGGGTACCTTCTGTGTGTAATATGGCTCAAATTCACGAAAGTACACATCCATGCTCACGAACAGCCTTTTCTCCACCGGGCTCCAGCAAACATATTCCTTTTGAGTAGCAGAATATCCCACAAAAATGCACTTCACCGCTCTAGGGGCAAGCTTCCCGACGGATGGTCTGTTATCCTTCACAAAGCACACACAGCCAAATACCTTCAGTGGAAGAATCCCACCATTATCTCCTTTTAATGTCTCACACGGAGACTTCCAATCCAGTACTCCCGAGGGCATTCTGTTGATCAGCGCCGCTGCAGTCAACACTGCTTGCCCCCACAATGTTTATGGGACATTCATGGAGATCATCATACTTCTAGCAACCTCTAAAAGGAGCCCGCTACCCCATTCTGAGCTGGTGTGTATGGACATGTAGTCTAGTGTTGTATTCCTTGAGATGACAAGTATTCTCCAAACACTCTGTTGGTGTACTCTGTGCCATTATCAGATCTCAATACCTTCACCACTGCTCCATATTGAGTCTGAACATTCCTATGAAAGTTTTGAAAGCAGCCAAACACTTCACTCTTATTCTTCATCAGGTATAACCAAGTAACGCGAGAGAAACAATCAATGAAGGTAACAAAATACTTGTATCCATTCATAGAACTTGTGGAACATGGCCCCCACACATCTGAATGTATCATATCAAATGCATGAGAACTCCTATGATCAGAACTAACATAAGAGCTTCTAGTAAGCTTTCCCAACTTACATGCATCACACACAAGTTTCTCTTTATTTACTTTCTCAAATAAAGATGGATACAACCTACTTAAAACACCGAAAGAAGTATGTCCCAAGCGTTTGTGATGAAGCATCAACACACTCTTAGCACTCATCTCAGATCCTACTCCTGCTCTATCTACCATTAACACCAAAGTTGAATCTAGCCATTCACGATCCAGATACCACAGTCCATTACGCCATGTGCCAGTCCCAAGTCTCCGTCCTATCCCTTTCTCCTGAAAGATCACCTTGGGAATATCAAAAGAAATAATACATTTTAGTTGGAGGATGATAGAACTAATGGATAAAAGATTGACTGGAAAGGAAGGAGCATGCAAAACATTAGACAAAGTTACAGAACCAGTATAATCGACTGTACCCTTACCAACCACCGGCTGAAATATACCATCAGCTGTTTGAATACTATTAGGCGATGCTAAGTGAGTATATGATGAGAACTCATTAGCATTACCTGTCACATGACGAGACGCACCGGAGTCGACTATCCACTCTGATGATCTGTTGGGAGACATAGAAGCAAGAGCATGTATGTCATCAATACCTTTGGCCGGATGAGCATAGGTAGCAGTGTTGCCTCTGGCGAAGAACGAAGTGGATGCCTCCTCAGTCCCACTCCTCAAGTCTCCATCCCCTGCTATTTGTTGTTTTTTTCTGAGTATCGTGAGGAGAGCACGATCCTCCTCTGTAAAGACCACCTCAGCTTCTTCTTCCTCTGCTACCGTCAGATTCGCCCGATTCACTGCTCCTCTTCCACCTCGTCGACCCCCACGGCCACGACCACGACCTCCGAACTGTCCACGTCCACCCGAATCTCCTTCCTTGGGTGGCTTGGTGCAAGCATGCCTTAGATGACCCACCGCACCGCAGTTGTAGCACTGTCGAGTCTCTCCCCTAGATCCAGTACTGCTAGAGGCTGCCAGTGCTGACTTCACCACAGGAAGTCCACCTGTCCCCGCCTGCAGCCGAATGCGAGTCTCCTCCTGGATCATAGCAGAGACAGCCTCCTCAAGCGTGGGAATCTTCGGCTGAGCTAGCAGCAATGTGATTCGCTGAACGAACTCTGATGTCAATCCCTCGAGAAACACCATAGTCCTCTCCTATAGAAAGGTCTTCCGCTCTTTACATCCTGGGTCCTTGCAGCTAGCCCGGGGGGAAAAATGATCATAATCCAGCCACATGCGCTCCAACTCTGTAGCATATTCCTGTACAGTCCTCTCTCCCTGGACTGTGGCGTCGATCTCTCCTTTAATCTGGAATACCCTCAGGTTATTCCCCACTCCATCATATGTCCTCCTCAACTTCTCCCAGACGTCCTTCACCTTCTCAATGCCATCCACCGTGGCGGCGATCGTCGGGACCAACGAGTTGAGAAGCCAGATGTACACCAACATATGAGTGGACTTCCACTCATCTCTTCCCTCTGAGTCCTCCTCCGGCTCTGTCACCTCTCCTGTCAGATAACCCTCCAGATTCCTCCCTGCAAGGGTATATCTCACCCGTCGTGACCAGCTCAGGTACGTACTAGGTCCATCCAGCTTCAGATCGATGGTCGGAAGCTCCAACTTCTTCGATTGTTTTTGTCGCGCTCTCACCAGCCGACAACTTTATTAGCTTCATCAAAGTTGACACCTCCGCAGGGTTCAACTTTTTGATGATCTCCTCCATCGAATAGGCTTATTAGCTTCATCAAAGTTGACACCTCCGCAGGGTTCAACTTTTTGATGATCTCCTCCATCGAATAGGCTTCAGACCCACCACCTGTTCACCTTCTCTTCCGGGTTCAACTTTTTGATGATCTCCTCCATCGAATAGGCTTCAGACCCACCACCTGTTCACCTTCTCTTCTGACCCTTATTGTGTGCAGTAAAAATTTCGGCAGCACCTCTGCTGCACAACAAGAGTAGGATCTCAAAGAAATTCTTATTTCTCAGAGGAAACAAGAACCAAAAACAGTTATATATCTCATCGCTGTGAGATATATACTCTTCCTGTCATCAGTTCGAGGACTGAGTCGAGGGAATCCATGCCAAACTCGAGGTTCGACAGGATGCAACCGGGGGGGTTCGAGGTGGCAGCGGAATTGAGGGGGTCTGATCAGAAGCTGAGCGAGGGGGAGGCTGTTCGGAATTAAAGGGGGGGGGGCTTAGATCCGAAGAGGGGCTGAAGTGGTTTTCCGAAGGGGGGACGTGGGAATTTTTCGAGGGGGGGGGGACCTGAGAGATTTCCGAGGGCGGGTTTTGATTCGAAGGGTGGGTTAGGTGGCCGAAAGGGGGGTGCGGTGGCTGATCTGAAGAGGGGAGGGGGATTCACTGACCCTCTGAGAAGACAGAGGGGGGCAGCCGGAGGGCGGGGCAGCGGGATCAGGGTGCAGCGGTAGGGGCAGCCGGATGAGAAGGAGGGTGAGGGGGCTAGGGCTAGGGTTTGGGTGGAGGCTCTGATACCAAGTTAAAATAGAAACCCTAATCTTATTCATGAGATAACATGGGTTTATATAGGCCCCTACAACTTACAAATAAGCCCCTAAACCTATTAATATTTCAACAATTTATATAACCACAAATATCACTTCCTTGAAGACTGCTCCGTAAACATCTCCTTGATACAGTTCTCTATTTTGAAATGCAATATTAGCATGGAACACCAATCCTTTGGTTTCTTAACACTGTGAGGTTAATAAAAGAACTTCCGAAAAAAAAATCTAATGAAACATGGTGACTTATGAATCACTCAACACGCCCAAATACCAGACCTTCAAAAAAAATTGCAGAACAACAGTCAAGACAATGTCAAATGTTTCATCTATCATACTTCATGAAACTGAGAAATTGACATTTTCCTATAATCTTTAGGACATCTGATAGGCCTTCGAACTCCTGACCTCTTTACAAACTCTATCTAACATTGCAAGAAAATCCCTCACAATTACAAAAATCCGAAGCAGGTTAGCTTCATCAACCTTGCTCACATCTCCATGATAGTACTCGGTGATTGCCCTCACATTAACTAGCACTCGATCCTCATTTTCCTTCAATTCCTTAATTGTTCTCTCAGCCTGAATTAAAAACAATGTCATAGATTCTTCAAAGCTCTCATTTCCTTCAACAGTGGGTAAATCCACTTCGATCAAATGCCTCAATTTCTTCATTCCTTCAGCCAAGTTTGAAACCGAGCCTACAATCACATCCAAGTCTATACTCGCTGTTTTCTTAACATTACAGAGCTCTGTGCTGAGTCCTGAGACAACGTCAAGGCCCATTACCCTATATATCTCTTCTTGTTCTTCTGTAGTCTTTGGCTTGCTGTTCTTGATGCTCTTCTCTATTGCATTAACACCTTCAGATCGTATTATCTCCTGTACTACAAAATGAAGTAGCGAAGTTTTTCCATCTGTTCCCTTGACATCTGACAATTTCAGAAGAGTATCGAGCTTGAAAGCTCTTGCTCCTCCTCTTATTGTCCCTACATTCATTCGATTCCCCGTTTTTAGCACTGCTTCAAGTAATCTGAAGAAGAGTCGGCATGATCTGAGTTCTTTGCATGCTTTCTGAAAAGGAAGAATAGAAGAACAAAGAAAATTATTAGGATAAGTAGCTAATTATATTAATAAGTAACAATTTCTTTGTGCTCTTACTTCAAGCATTACGAAAGAGTTCCTGAGATGAATGACTTCATCTTCGAAGGTTTCCTTGTATAGCATGGCCTGAATTCTTGAGAAAGCAAATGGTATGTTTAGAATCGACTTGACAAATTTTTCTGCTGAGCTTAATTCGTCTATGTCGCCCTGATAGCTGTGAAGCTTTTCTTCTTCCTCCTTTGTTGGCATCATCTTCACAAGTGATTCTAGTTGTTGGGAGTTCAATCCTATACCTAATTCAACCACACAAAGACAGACAATTTAAAACTTTACGTGGTCATATTCATAGGAAAAAACGATGTTTTGTTCAAAATCTACCTTGAATCAGACTTTCGCAGACTTGTTCACTAGTTGCATTCAATGCCTTCAACAAAATAGTAACATTCTGCAGTCTCTTATTATCTAAGACATGCTTTCCAGGTGGAGAGCTCCTAGTTTTTGCCTCGTCATTCTTCGCAGAACTTTGCGCGTTATAACCAAATAGAGATTCAATCATTTGCTCATCCAATCTGTTTGGGAATTACCAAGACCATAAGAACCAAGAAGCTAAAAAAGATGAAGGCAAGAATGGTGAGCTTTGCTTACTCAAATGAGCTCGATCTTATCTTATCCCAAACCATACAACGATCAGGAGCAGCTCTTACTTTATCCCAATGCAAAGGCTTCAATTTGGGAAGAGGATTTCCATCTTTACCAACTGGTGTAGCTTGAAATTGGCTTGGTGGTGGAGGTGGAGGTTGCTTAGAATTGCATCGAATTTGGGAAGATGATGGTCTAGATGGAGGTAAAGGTGGAGGAGGAGGAGGAGGCTTTGGTGCGTTTCCGTTGCTTATCAGTGACACTGGAGGAGGTGGTGGCTTTGGTATATTTCCGTTGCTAACTAATAGCATTGGAGGAGGTGGAGGTTTTGATACTAGTTCAATTGATTTTGAAATAGAGCTAATTTTTTGGTCTAGATAATCAGAGGACGTTTTCTCTTTTGATGTCTGTTCAGTTTTTTGAACGAGATTACAAGTCAATGGACAGGGAGATGAAGATGAGGACTGAAATGTTGTATTTGTACGCTTTTCTGAAGGAGAAACTGAAGGTTTAGTCTTTGAAGGGAAATAAGTGATCTTGCAACTGTATGGAGATGACCCATTTGATGAACTACATGGAGAACACTTTCCAGATTCACAGCTTAAATTTGACTCTAAAGCTAATGAAGAGCAAGAATTGCGTATCGAATGAAAAGACTCATCATCAGAAGCATGGAGAATTTCTTCATCCAAGCAACTTACAGTATCTGAGATTTCCTTGTCAAATTGATTAGTATCAGACTGTTTAAAGCTCGAATCCTTATGAACAATAGATTGAGAGGAATGTTTGAAACTAGACTCGACATCCAAAATTGGTGCCAAGGTATTCAAATAAAAATGCTCATAACCAGGATCAGGATCATAACTCACCTTATTGGAACCGCTTGAGGCCTGAATTCTCTTTCGTCTGTGTCTCTTACAAACTATAAGCAAGGAAACAAGAAAGATGATAACAAAGAACGATCCAATCGAGACCAAAACAGAGATAATGAAAATGTGAAGCCTAGACTTGTTAGTTCTATGATCTTTTTCTCCATCTTCTAACTTGTGTGCTGGTTGATTATGAAGCTTATAGTGAAATGGATGAGGCCTTTTCTGTATGTGATGAGTATGAAGAGCTGGGGCTGGGGCGGAAGCCGGAGCTGGAGCTGGAGAAAATGAATGTGCAGGTATGTTAGGCTTTGAGCTCTGCATACCAAGCAGAAATCTGAAGCTAGTGAGGATTGTAGAGCCCATTTCTTTACCGACGTTGTCATCACCTGAGACAGACTCTTGGTAATCTTGAGAGATAGAGGTATAAAAAGTAGAACTGAGAGTGATGATGAGAAGACAGAAGGACGTTGAAGCTGAACACATTATGATATTTTGCTCAGAGATGAATCATGAATGAGAGGTGAGGGGATTTGTTTTTGTGAGGATAGTTGGTTGGAGGAAGCAAAAGACTTTAATGCTACTCCAAGGAATCCCTGACTGTGGCAGTTGTGGGCAGTAATGGAGGTGGCCTTTGCTTCTTTTGCCTCCCTTGAACTTTCTTCATCCTCCAACCCATTTTCCTCTTTGCCCTCTCTTTGCATTTAGTTTTGATCTCTGTTTGGTAAAAAAAACAAAACTTAACCTCTTTGTGAAATGAGATATTTTAACTACGCATACATAACTTTTCTCTGACATGCATCTCGTTTATTTTCTTGTTTAAAGAAATGTTGTGTCTGCTATATGGACATTTACTCAGATGCGAATTATAGAACTGAGCTACCAAAATTAAAGGCTCCCAAATGCATATTTAACTCAACGCAGATAATTAAAACACGAACGGCTGAGGCTGGTGTCTCGTGTAAATAATTCCAATATTTAACAGATGCAACATGAGTATGCCCCTTATAATATGCACATGGTACCTTAGACGTCTTGCTAACTAACAAATTAGGGAAAAGATATGTCCAAATATTGTAATTTGTAAAGCAAGAACCCAATGATTTATAGGAAGTCAAGTGTGACATATTTTGATATATTTCCATTATATTTGGGGTTTTGAGAACCCGTTCTCATTTGACTTTTATTTTAGATTTAACCCATGGACCAGAAAAGCTAATCTTTTTAACCCTTTTGTTCTAAAATTTGTGTCCCTAAATGGAATTGTGTTGATCAGGGTGCATACATAAAATTCTAATGGGTTCTGGACCTTTTGGGTCCCATTTAGTTGAAGAGGGTTTGGATGAAAATTTTCTCACAAGCATCAATCATGAAGATAGAGACTGAGAGAGAGAGAGAGATCTCCAAGGCATAAAACAAAGTTTCAGGGGTGAGCTTATACTTTAATAAAGTCTAGGATCACTATATGTATTAAAAGTTTGCTCGTGATTGCAAAGTGATTGTCATTTTCTTTGTAATGTAGCTGTCTTTCTCTTCTTTTCACAGATAAAACTCTGGGCGTTGCTCAATTTTAGCGGCAGTTGGTGTGTTTTGCCTCCGCAAATGGCGCAAGTTTTAGTTAGGATGATGTTGACTCTTGCCTCTGAGTCATAGTTCAACTTTGAGAGTTCACCTAATGGATAAGAGAGAGAGAGAGAGAGAGAGAGAGAGAGAGAGAGAGAGATGATTAGGTTGGAAAAGTGAAGGCAATTGTTTATATCTAATTGGATATAGAGAAACAAGCTACACAGAGAAAGTTAGCTCTGGGGGTTGTTTGGTTCGTTCAATGCAAGTACTAATTGTTGTCTCATGTAAGGGCTATTTGTTATCATGCAGTTGGGCCAGTTGCAAGTGCATTTGCATATAATTTAATCTGTTTTATCTAACTACAAGTGTTTGTTTTGTTGCCCCATACTATTGGCAATTGCAACTATAGTTGTATGGTTCTACTTGATATTTTATCAACTGTAGTTACAATTGCTTATTTTGTACTGTTAGTTCTTTTTGAACTTCCCTTCAGGGCTGCTTGCAATTGAAATTTCAATATAGATGCCATTTGCAACTCCAAAAGGTTCAAGTGTTACTTTAAAGTCTGCATTAAGTTGTCAGTTGCATTCAAGATCATTTTACAACAACCATTTCATCTTTGTTCAATATCTACATTAAGACAAACAACTTCGATGAAGAAATTATTCTTGGGAGACTTAAAGGTTGTTTATTTGTTGCAATTTGCAACTTCAATGCAAGTACTATTGCGTTCATTTGTAGTTACAGTTGTTTGATTTGTTTACAAAAATTATTGATTTAAAGTTATAGTTGCAGTTGCAAGTGTTTATTTTATGGTTTGAACTTCTGTTGAGTATTGTTTACAATTGAAGTTACTAATATATTCCTTCACAATGAAGTGTTTATTTAATTCCCTTAATTTATAATGGGAGGTGAACTTCCATGAGAGAAGTCTCATCCTGAGAAAGAAAGAATATATGATACAGTATGAACTTAACTCACATAATTGATAAACAATTTTTTTTAAAAGAAAAAGGATGGGGAGTCAATCCAGCCACTTCCATTACCACTGACAGGTTGGATACATAAAACACTATCATCCCTAGCCTAAAAATTATGGTGTTAAAAATAAACATCAGCTACATCTGTTCATAAAACCAAAAGACAATCCCAGTAGATACTATCCCACTTGGTATTTACATACATCCCTCTAAAAAAGGTTTCATCAGGGTAATGCATAAAAAACTACACACAAAACCCAAAAACTTCTTCCTCCACATTTTAAGCACTAGCAGTGGCATCAGCAGTAATTCTGACCACACTATCTTCAGCATTCTCACCACCATGCATCATTAGCACCTGCTTCCATGCCTGCAATATTCTCAACATCTTCAATAAACCTGCCCACAACAATAGCTTCTAACCTTGTGCAATTTTGCCTCTTATAGCACAGCGATTCAGATAATTTACCTGGAAAATTATCAATCCAGTACATAGAAAAGTAGCAAACTTTCCCAAAAAGTTCCAAAGCATGAAATTTTTTGTTATGAAACACTCTCATATATATATCACGTTCATGCTAGACTGATCAAATCAAAGCACCAACAAAGATATCCCAACATACTCTCTTATCATGATCAACATTAGTTACCCTCCGACAAGTCCAAAGCTCTCGAACATCATCAATGGTTCCAACAATTTGCAGCTTATACAAAACAGTTCTCCACAATGAAAAAAAAAAAAAACTCACATTTCAAAAAGAAATGATTACGAGTTTCTTCAAACTTTTCACATAACACACAAGTATTACCAATTTGCGGCCTTTTTCTTCTTTCATCGAAATTTTCCTTTCTCATTTGTGCGTGCGTGTGAAATGGACTTCTGCTTTATAAGAATCCAAATGGATTTCGGGGTATTATTGACAAGAAATCTAGAGAACCTTTTACTGGTAGAATTGTAGAAATGATCTTTTGGAGGCATTTCTGTAGTAACCCAACTAATTAATGCCTTAAAAACTTGATTTATAATTTTTATGACAGATTAAAGAACTAATTAGGGGTAATTTTGGGATTTCACCCTAACTCTTATGTAGTTGCCACGTTAATGATTTCGTGGCTAAATTTCTTTCGTTTGTTTGGCCGGCACCTCTTAGCAGGAGAATAAAAACAGAGAAAAACAGAGAAAATCAAAGAAAAATCACAGAAAAAAAACAACAACATAGAAAACCTTCTTCAACCCAACCCTCTGAGAACCCAAATTAAAAGTGTGAAAAGAAAAGAAGAAGAAGAAGAGGAAGAAGACAGTGAAAAGGGAAAGGAAAAGAGAGGAAGTTAATCCAAAGGTATAAACCATTTCCCATGTTAATTTCTTGTTTTAGAAGAGTAAAGTGTTATAGAACTCTTAGTAAATTGAATCAAAATAGGATGAATAAGGGAATTAATTTGTTATGAATATGAAAAAAAAAGAATCTAGGATTTTCAAGAGGAATTTCTTATGTGTTTAGGAGGCATGAATTAAACTGAAGAAAATATATATATATAAACTAACCTTGTTTTGGGGGGGGGTTCACGTCGTCGGCCTCTCCTCGTCGTCGGCTGGTTTTGGTCGCCGGCGGGCTCCTCGTCGCCGTCCCACCTCCATGGAGAGAGAGAGACGGAAGAGAGAGAGAGAGATGAGAGGAGAGGAGAAGAAAACCGAAAAAAAAAGAAGATGAACAGATGAGGAGAAAGAAAAACGAAAAAAAAAGAGAAAAAAAAACGAAAGAAACGAAGAAGAAGGAAAATAAGGAAGATGATCAGTTGGGTAATATTAAAGGAATGAATTTTATAAAAAGACCCTTAGTTTTTTTGACCTTGCTTATAAAGCCCTCTTGAGTGGAGAATAGAGTTTTGTGACCTAAGAATTCATTCTAAGTCCTTAAAAGCCACAAAATTTTGTAAGTAAACCCTAATAGAGGAAGCTAAAATCTTATATGAACAGAATAATTTCATATAGACCCTTATCAATTACTCTATTTCCAAACAAGTCCAATTTGAAGAGTAAAAGATAATTATTAGGCTCTAGTTATGAATTGAATTACCTATAATATATGTTTGTCCTGAATTAATAATTAGTCCTATATCTTACATTATAGGTTCTGGCTGATATTCGGGAGACTAATATTTCGAGAATATCGTGACCACTAGAGGTGAGTTCATTTCTCACTAGTATTTTTATAATATGAAATGGCATGAGTTCTATATTTGATTTATCTTGTGATAAAATAAATAAATAAATAATATGTCTTTTCATGTATATAAAGATTTGACCTATTTCTGTTGTGGTCTATCCTATAATACTATGTTAACCTCGCACAATATATGAAAAGCTAATTTGATCTGTATATAAAATATGAAAAAATAAATTTGGCTCTCATGCAATTTTCAAATAATCGTGGACATTGTTTTATCTGAATAATTTGATGAGGTATTTGGAACGTATTTCAACAGTTTAACGGATTCAAAGACTCTTTGTGACTTAGTATCTGATAAAGGAAAAATCTGTAAACTGTTTTAACAGAAATGAGGCGCTTTACCTTGTCAATTTCATTTGAAATATCTGCAAATTCTGTATGCAAAGTATTTATCATTTGATATGTGATCTCGATGTTTTCAAACCCTCAAATAGTCCACTATGAATTAGTTCTGCCTGCCATATGGTGAATGCACCTTTATTTGGCCCTTCTGTATTTGGCCTTGGCCCTTCTGTATTGGCCCTTCTGAAATCTGTTCTGGCCCCTCTGTATTTGGCCAGTAGCCTATGGCAGTGTTAGGTGCATTCGGTTCCCGGGAATTATCTGTTATCTGATGCGGTTACGCATTCCCTTGCTACTGGGCTAAAATTCGTAGCCTTAGTGTGAACTATGGGGTGACTTTTACATTCATGAAATACTCATCGAGAAATAAGATTCTGAAAAACTTGAAATTTGTAAATTTCTGAGAACTATTATTATTACTATTTTGTTAGTTATCTAGGAACTCTAGTGGGAAATGTTCTCACTGAGCGCTAGCTCATTCCGTTGTTTTTAATATTTTTTCAGATCAGGCGTAGCTTCCTACTAGCCGACTTTTAGTTTGAACTTTTAGCTGAGAGGCGTTATATGGAGGGCCTCTTCATTTTGATGTTACCTTCAGCACCATTTATTTTGTTTTGTAAAATGCTTATGACGGTGAGCTTGTGGGCTGTAAGTACCGATCAAATATATAGTTGCTCTGACTTCTATCATCAGCAGGTTTATGAATATTTGAAATAAACTATGTGATATGAAGTGCCAGGCTTGACCCGTGCATAAGACTTGTCTTAGGCATTGGTCGCTGCTGTTGCGCACCCCGTATTTTATGATATTCCGCTGTAGTTTCGGGGCGTGACAGTAAGGTGGTATCAGAGCTTAGGTTTCGACGTTAGAAACCTTGTAGGACACGTTATCATATGTATATGCGCTAGATGAGTGTTAGCGTATGGATCAATTATGTGATATATATGTCTGTATACATATGTATATATATATGTATGCATATAAATATTTTATTATTTATAGGAAGATATGATTTCAGGTAATGAGCAAACCCCTCCTAACGGAGATAGGGATCTAAATCAGACGATAGGTGAAATGATGAGATCTAGAATTGCTCATGCATCCACCTTCGGAAACTCAATAGACAATAATGCATTGATGGATCTGCTGCAAGCGGTGACATCCGTAGTCACCAGACAACAAGATCAAATTGATTGCAATTAGACGAGTGGTCAAAAGGAGGAACACCCAAAATTAAGAAGTGGCATGGGAGAATTCAAGAAACTATCTCCACCTAGTTTTGAAGGAACAACTGATCCCATGATTGCTGAGCATTGGATCACAGAAATGGAGAAGGTCTTCACATACATGAAATGCCCTGAAGAGGAGAAGGTTGATTATGCAGTATACATGTTAAAGGACCGCGCTTACGGGTGGTGGCAAATGCAGGTCAGGACATTGGGTGAGAAGGCATACAAGTTATCATGGGAGGAATTTAAAAAGATTTTTTATGAAAAATATTTTCCTTCAACTGTTCGCAAACAAAAAGAGCAGGAGTTTCGAAAATTGGAGCAAGGTGATAAGACAGTAGCTGAATATGAAGAAGAGTTCACTTACCTATCAAAATTTGTCATTCACTTGTTGGGTAATGAGGAAGATAGAGCTCGTCGATTCAAGGAAATGCTTCGACCGGACATCCAGAAGACGGTCAGTGCAATTGAACTCCCTACATATGGAGAAGTGTTAAAGAATGCCTTGTTAATTGAGAAAAATGAAATTGGTACAAAACCAAGGAATGAGACGAGCAGCTTATACCCAAAGAAGCGGTTCTGGCAAGATAATCGTGGTGGAAGAAATAAAAATTGGAAAAAAGCAGAATTTTGGGCGCAGAGAGGAACAATTTCCTACCCAGAAAACTTTAAGATGTGATTTTTGTCATAAGCTGGGGCATGAAGCGAAAAGTTGTTAGAGAAATACTGGAGCTTGTTTGAGATGTGGTCAGAAAGATCACAAGATAGCAAATTGTCTCCTACAACAACCATCTCGGAATACTTTTCAGACTGGCCAGTCCAGTGGTGGGAATCGGTATCCTCAAGCTAAGGCCCGAGTTTATTCTCTAACTGAGAAGGAAGCAGAAGCAAACCAGGATGTGGTGACAGGTACGCTAACTTTTGCATCAGTTCCTGCTCGAGTACTATTTGATTCTGGTGCATCGCATTCCTTTATTGCTACACAGTTTGTTAAGAGAAACAAATTTCAATGTGATACCCTACAACAAGAATTGCTTGTTAGTACACCTGGAGGTAGCATATTAGTATCAACTCAAGGTTGTAGGGGTAAAATTTATATTCTCGACAAGGAACTCCCCGTAGAATTAATGATGCTAGAAATGCATGATTTCGATATCATATTGGGGATGGATTGGTTATCCTTAAATCATGCTTCTATTTTGTGTCGAGAAAAGAAAGTAGTATTCAAATTTCCTGGCCAACCCGAATTTTGTTTTGAGGGCGGCAAGTGTCAAGAACCCTTAAAAATTATCTCAGCCCTTAAAGCATATCGAGCGCTGAGAAATGGATGTATGGGTTATTTGGCTTCAATTGAGATGGTTGATGATGGAAAACCAAGCTTGGAAGAAATACCAATTGTCCGAGAATTTCCAGAAGTATTTCCAGATGAACTTCCAGGAATGCCCCCAGATAGAGAAATTGAATTTCAACTGCAAGAACTTTTAGATAAAGGCTTCATTCGGCCGAGTGTGTCACCCTGGGGTGCACCAGTGTTATTTGTGAAGAAGAAAGATGGAAGTATGAGACTATGTATTGACTTCCGTGAGTTGAACAAAGTAACCATTCGGAACAAGTATCCATTACCGAGAATTGATGATCTATTTGATCAATTACAAGGAGCTCAAGTATTTTCCAAGATTGATCTTCGTTCTGGTTACTATCAGTTAAAGATTAAGCCGGAAGATGTGCCAAAGACTGCATTTCGAACTCGTTATGGTCATTATGAATTTTTAGTTTTACCATTCGGGCTCACAAATGCACCTGCAACATTTATGGATCTTATGAATAGGGTATTTAAATCTTTCTTGGATCAGTTTGTTGTGGTATTTATTGATGATATTCTGATATACTCAAAAAGTAAAGAAGAACATGAAGAACACTTGAGGCAGGTGTTGCACACATTAAAGAGAGAACAATTGTATGCGAAACTTAAGAAATGTGAATTCTGGTTGGAGGAAGTAGCATTTCTTGGGCATGTAATCTCTAAGGAAGGGATTTCTGTGGACCCTGAAAAGGTAAAAGCCATTGTTAAATGCGGACAGCCGATACTGTACGCGAGATCCGTAGCTTTCTTTCGGAAATGCGCTGGCTACTATAGAAAACTTTGTATTAGAAGGATTCTTCCGTAATTGCTTCACTCTAACTCGTCTACTCAGAAAGGGAGTTAAATTTATTTGGTCAGGAATGAAATGTGAGAAAAGCTTTCAAGAAGCTAAAAAGTCGATTAGTGTCTGCTCCAATCATTGCATTACTAGTGGAGACACAGGCTTTGCCTATTTATAGTGATGCATTCCAGAAGAGGATTGGATGTGATAATATATGCAAATGGCAAAAGTCATAGCATATGCTTCAAGACAGTTAAACCTTATGAACAAAACTTATCCAACTTCATGCATCTTGAGTTAGCGGCAGTAGTGTTTGCTCTCAAAATTTGGGACATCTATTATAATGGAGCTTACATTTGATATTATATACTGACCACAAGGTTTGTGAAAATATATATTTTACCCAGAAGAGTTGAATTTACGGCAAGAAGTCATGCGTTGGAGCTTCGAAAGACTTATGATATGACCACTTCATTATCACCGGCAAGGCAAATGTTGTTGCTGATGCCTTGAGCCGTAAGAATTGCATGCCAATTTAGCAATGCCTTAATTACTTTCTCAAAGAAAATATTGAGGACATTGCGATCGTACTGGAATTGAAATTAGAGTCACACAAATGAGTTAAATTAGCAAGATATGATACAGCAACCCTCTTTGCGCTAGATGAATTAAAGCCAAACCAGCCAGAATGATCCTCAACTGCTTGAAGATAAGAAGATGTGGGAAGAAGGCACTCGAGGAGAGTTTTAAAGATACATAAAGATGGATCATTGAGTGTTGGAACTCAGAGTTTGTGTGCCTGACATTACCAGAGATAAAGAAAAATATTCTAACAAGAGGCACATACTCTTTGCTACTACTATGCATTCCTGGATCAACAAAAATGTATAACGAACTGAAGCGAAATATATTGGTGGAATAATATGAAGACAGGAAATGCACCTATGTTGCAGAATGTTTCACTTTGCCAACAATAAGGCTGGCACCAAGAACCAGCCTGGATTAGTTCATAACTTGGACATACCAATGTGGAAATGCGGAAAAGTCACCATGGAATTTCGTCACTGGCCTTCCGAAATCCTTGAGAAAGAATGATGCAATATGGGTAATTGTTGACCGCTGTTGACAAAAGTCAGCACACATTTTACCTATCAATGTGAAATTCTCATTCAGAAAAGTGACTAAGATGTACATTAATTGATGATAGTTAAGGCTTAATGCGTATTAACCACATATCAATATCGTGGTCTGAATCGTGATCCTAGATTCACATACAGAATACTGGAAAGTGGACAGAGCTGTCTGCAGAACTAAACTAAATTTCAGCTTCAGCTTTATGCATCACAGACAAAATGGCCATCAGAACGACAATTCAAACACTAGAAAGATATGTTTGAGATTGTTAGTGTGTTCTGGAGATGAAAGGCAGGCGTGGGAAGAATTAATCTGCCTTTTGGCGAGTTTGCATATAATAAATAGCTACCAAGCTAGCCATTCAGATGGCCCCCCACCATTATCGAACTCTTTATGGAAGGAAAATGTAGATCTCCTATCATTGGGCATGATGTTGCGAGAAATGGAAACTTCTTGGACCGGAATTGGTACAACAGCAATTGATTAAAATTCAATTAGTTCGAGGAAACCGTGCTTCGCACGGCACCAAGTCGCTCAGAAAGAGTCTAATGGCTGATCGAAGAAGAAGAGAATTTAGAATTTCAACGTAGGCAGATCATGTTTCTTTAAGGTTTTTCGCGCACTACGAGCAGTAAAAAGATTTGGAATCCAAGGGAAGTTAAGCCCGAGATTGCATGTTTCCTTTTGAAATTCTTAGAGCGTACTTGGTCAGTGGCTACAGATTTAGCATTACCCAGCTCGTGTCTGGGAGTCATGATGTCATCTTCATTACTCCATGCCTTGGAAGCTTCATCCGAGGATCCAAATGAGATCATTGAAGTTGTCTCCAGTAGAGCTCAAGTCCAGAATATTGACTATGAAGGAAAGACCCCAGGAATCGTATTGTTGATTCATAAAGAACAAGTGCTCGACACCGAATAATCAATATGTGAAAGTTCAGTGGAAGAATCACTCTGAAAGAGAAGCTACTTGGGAGGAGACTGCAATTCTATGCGAGAGAGTATCCAGAGCTCATTCGAGATATAGGTATCGTATAAGTTTCAGAGGACGAAAACTTTTTATTAGAGGGAGAGTGTAGAATAACCCAACTAATTAAAATTTCTTAAAACTTGATTAATAATTTTTTAATCGACAGTAATTAAATAGGGGACTAATTAGGGGTTGATGTTGGAGATTTTCCCCTAACTTTTTTTTAGCTTGCCACAGTTAAACAGGCTTTGTGGCTTGAAATACCATTGAAGATTTGGACGGCACCTCTTCAACGGGCGGAAAATAAAAACAGGGAAAACAGAGAAAAATCACAGAGAAATCACAGAAGAAAAAAAAAAAAAAAACAAAACAACAACACAGAGAACCTTCTTCAACCCAACCCTCTGAGAACTCAAATTAAAAAGTGTGAAAAGAAAAGAAGAAGAAGAAGAGGAAGAAGATAGGGAAAGTGGAAATCAAGCTCCTAAGGTATAGTTTCCTTTCAATTTCATAGTGAATCGAATCAATTAGAATAAGTAAGAGAGTTAAGTTGTTATGATCATGAATATGAATCTAGGGTTTCAAAAGGAATTTTATTATGTAATTAGGATACATTTTGGGGGGGGGGGTTTCCGCCGTCGGCCTCTCCTCGTCGTCGGCCGGTTTTGGTCGCCGGCGGGCTCCTCGTCGCCGTCCCACTTCCATGGCGGAGAGAAAGAGAGGGAGAGAGAGAGAGAGAGATGGAAGAGAGAGGGAGAGAGAGAGATGAGAGGAGAGGAGAAGAAAACCGAAGAAAAAAAAAAGAAGAACAGATGAGGAGAAAGAGGAACGGAAAAAAAAAAGAGAAAAAAAAAAGAAGAAGAAACGAAGAAGAAGGGGGAGAGGATAATGATCAGGTGCTGTTTTTAGTATAAAGAGAGGGAAAATTGCTTTAAGCCCCCTGAACCATGAAAAAAAATTCGAAATAGACCTTAATAATATGAGTTATGTTGAAAAATGATTGGAAAATCTCTGCTGGGCCCTATCATTTACTCTACTTGCTAATAAGTCCAGTCTGAGGAATAAACAATAAACTTTTTGACTTGATAATTCCCTATAACCCCCTGCATAATTTAATTATTATTGATTATATTTGAAATTATTAGACTCTAGACTAGGAATTGATTTACCTATAATATATGTTTGTTCTGAATTAATAGTTAGTCATATATCTTACATTTGATATTCGGGTGAATAACAGTTGAGAAAGTCGTGACCACTAGAGGTGAGTTCATTTCTCACTAGTATTTTTATAATATGAAATGGCATGAGTTCTATATTTGATTTATCTTGTGATAAAATAAATAAATAAATAATATGTCTTTTCATGTATATAAAGATTTGACCTATTTCTGTTGTGGTCTATCCTATAATACTATGTTAACCTCGCACAATATATGAAAAGCTAATTTGATCTGTATATAAAATATGAAAAATAAATTTGGCTCTCATGCAATTTTCAAATAATCGTGGACATTGTTTTATCTGAATAATTTGATGAGGTATTTGGAACGTATTTCAACAGTTTAACGGATTCAAAGACTCTTTGTGACTTAGTATCTGATAAAGGAAAAATCTGTAAACTGTTTTAACAGAAATGAGGCGCTTTACCTTGTCAATTTCATTTGAAATATCTGCAAATTCTGTATGCAAAGTATTTATCATTTGATATGTGATCTCGATGTTTTCAAACCCTCAAATAGTCCACTATGAATTAGTTCTGTCTGCCATATGGTGAATGCACCTTTATTTGGCCCTTCTGTATTTGGCCTTGGCCCTTCTGTATTGGCCCTTCTGAAATCTGTTCTGGCCCCTCTGTATTTGGCCAGTAGCCTATGGCAGTGTTAGGTGCATTCGGTTCCCGGGAATTATCTGTTATCTGATGCGGTTACGCATTCCCTTGCTACTGGGCTAAAATTCGTAGCCTTAGTGTGACCTATGGGGTGACTTTTACATTCATGGAATACTCATCGAGAAATAAGATTTTGATAATTTGACTGTGAAATTTAGAAAACAACAATTCTCTGATTTTGCCCAAATTAGTAGTTCTTTTCTTCTTAATGTTTGCCTTGATTCAAAAAGAGTTTGTTTCCAAGAAATTTCACAGTTTATTCAGTGCACATGAGAAAGAAAATATAATTGTTGTATTCTTTCTTAAAAATGACAATATTACGATATTTGGATCGTATTCTGCTATCTGTGAATTTCTCACGCAAAACTTGAAATTTGTAAATTTCTGAGAACTATTATTATTACTATTTTGTTAGTTATCTAGGAACTCTAGTGGGAAATGTTCTCACTGAGCGCTAGCTCATTCCGTTGTTTTTAATATTTTTTTCAGATCAGGCGTAGCTTCCTACTAGCCGACTTTTAGTTTGAACTTTTGGCTGAGAGGCGTTATATGGAGGGCCTCTTCATTTTGATGTTACCTTCAGCACCATTTATTTTGTTTTGTAAAATGCTTATGACGGTGAGCTTGTGGGCTGTAAGTACCGATCAAATATATAGTTGCTCTGACTTCTATCATCAGCAGGTTTATGAATATTTGAAATAAACTATGTGATATGAAGTGCCAGGCTTGACCCGTGCATAAGACTTGTCTTAGGCATTGGTCGCTGCTGTTGCGCACCCCGTATTTTATGATATTCCGCTGTAGTTTCGGGGCGTGACAATTTCACTTGTAAAAGAGTGCTTAAGTACGAATCTCAGTAACCAAAATTGGAATATTTTTCGTGTCCTTTGACGAGAAAAATGATTTGGGGCAGCTAAAAGATTCTTCTGTTCTGATCAATCAAGGTTTGATCCAGGGAAATTTTTTTGTGTTTTCTTGTTGATTTGTCTTTTTCTCCTTTTGGTCTTTTCTCTTGGGCTTGAAATGGTGATTTTGGGGGAGAATTCGAAAAATTTGATTGAGCCAATTGAGACAACAAATTTTGTGGCTCAAAAGATTTGGGGGGAAATTGCTCCATTTTTAATCTCTGATTCTTTTTTTGTTTCAAAGCCCAAGCCCAGTTTCTCTCAGTGCAAAGAAACTAGGGTTTATTATGTAACTAGGGTTAATTCGGATCCTCAGTCTATGTGTGAGAAAACTAGAGTTAATAAACCTGGGTTAAAATCTGATGAGTTTGGGTTAAAATTTGCGGTGGGGATTGATCCCTTGCGGAGATCTCAAGAGGAATTAAAGGTAGATGTTGATAAATGAGATTGGGTGAGCGTTGTTAAGAGAAAACCTAAATCGCCGCCTCTCCAGAAATTTCTTGTTCCTCCCTCTTTTCTTTCTGCAGATCTCATTCGAATGAAGCGATTGTGTTTTCGTTGTGGAGGAGCGAATCATATGGCGAAAGATTGCAGAGATCCGATCGTTTGCTTTCAATGTCAAGAAATGGGTCATGAGGCGAGAAATTACAGGGTAAATGATAGAAGAAATGATACATCTGATAACAGAGGTCGAGGATATGGAGGAAGAGGAGCTAGTAATGGAGGACGTGGTTTTTTTGGGGGTCGAAGTGCTGGAGGTTTTGGTAATCTTGGAGGTCGAGGTAATAAAGGTAGATCTGGGCAGAACTCTAGTCGAGGGGGAAGATTTGATCATCCTAATCCTTGGCAATGGCGTAGGGAGAGAATTTCTTCTGCCTTTTCTTCTTCAAATAAGCAAGATTTTCCTTCGGGAATTGGTCAACAGGAAAAGGGTAAAAGAACACTGGACTCGATTGATGAAGAAAAAAATTCATGAGAATGTTTCAATGTTTCAAGATCAAGGGCCGAGAGATTTTGGAGATCTGGAAGTTGAACTAAAATCTCAGGTGATCGTCCTCGTTTCTCTTCTGCTGTTTTAAATTTTGAAGGAGAAATTAATTCTGGTTTTCAGAAGTTTAGAAACTTTGCTATAGTTTCTTTTGTTGAAGGTGGTAATATTTCTCTTGAGAGATTGGAGTTAGATTTGAGAGCTTATTTTCCTATGAATAAGCATTGGGATGTGAGGCTATTTACCAACGGAGAAGTGTTGGTTAAAATACAACCGTGGAAACAGATGGATGATTTGATAAGAATGGGGGTAATATCTCTGAGATCTTTTGGTTAAAATACAACCGTGGAAACAGATGGATGATTTGATAAGAATGGGGGTAATATCTCTGAGATCTTGTAAGATAAAACTTAGAAGATGGAGTGCTGGATGATTTGATAAGAATGGGGGTAATATCTCTGAGATCTTGTAAGATAAAACTTAGAAGATGGAGTGTCTGGGAAGGAAATGTGGTAGTAAAAAGGATATCTTATGTGTGGATTAAGCTGAAAAATGTTCCTCCTCACTTATGTAATAAAGAATCTTTTCCTCAGATGGTTAAACCTTTTGCTGATCTTGTTGAGTTGAACTCATTAACTAATTCCTGTACTGAATTTGTGGATGCTGTGTTGCTGGTCAGTTGTTTAGAATACATTGATATACCTAAAAAATTGAAGGTTTTTGTTGGAAAAAATCAGTACAACATTGAGGTTTCTGTTATGTCTATAATGGGGGAAATTGATGAAGGAGAAAAGAAAAAACAGAAAGTGGACCAATTGAAAGACAACAATCAAAGTTCTTATCATGATAAGTGGTTTAAAGGTAGAAGAGATAGTGGAACTGGTTCTTCTTCCTTGAAAGATTCTGAGTCTAATTCATGGAATGTTAAACAAGATTTGAGAGAAAATCCGTGGAGCTCTCCTGCTGCTAGATTATGGACTAATGCAAAAAATTTCTATCAAAAACAGAAATCTGAATGGGGGGCTTGGGGAGAAAGTATATCAAAAGATAATATTGATGAACAACATCCAGAACAGATGATGATGACTGAGATAGAAGATTCTGCTGAAATATTGATAGATAGTGAGGAAGATAAAGATAAAGAAGTTGAAAAGGAGATTAATGTGTCTCCCATTAGGGAGGATAAGGTGATTCACAAAGGAAAAGAGGTGATTGTAGAGGAGGGATCTACAGACAAGTTTACCATGATTGAGAATATTAATAAAGTTGAGAAATGGTTGGCTCTTCCAACTCATTCCAACAATGAAGAAAATCAAGAGAAGGAAGATGACATTCCTATAATTCAGCCTCTAAATTCTTTGTCACCTACAGATTTTGATACTTATCCAAAAGTCACATTTGTCAGAAGATGTTCAAGATTTGTGGATATGGAACCTATGACTGCTTTGGATAGGGCCACTTCAAGAGCTGCAATGAAAAATATTAAAAAAAATTATTCCAGGGGCTTCTTCTAGTGGTTCAGGTGAAAATTCCTCTTCTCTAGGATCTAATTTTGTTCCTATTTTATTTGATGCTTGCTCTAATAAGCAGCTGCAAAAAATTGCTTCTAAATGTGCTATTATTCTTGAGCCTCAGGGAGATTTTGACCCTATTAAAAAAGGGAGGCTGATGGAACAAGAAAGTGTTAGACCCTAGAGAGGGGGTGATTAGGGTCTTATGCTAATCTAATCCGATTTAATGCCAATTAAAAACTAATTAACAAGTTATCCTAGCAAGTATGAAATATAACAAAATATAAAAGCTAGGATAAGCAATGTAAACAAGGGATATATCCTATATGATGAAATATATATATGCAAGGATATGAAACTAACACAAGGGGTAAACAATCTAAACAAGATAGTGGATGATAAAGATAATGAGCTAATGACAATGGCGATATAAGATATGAACATAAATATGATCACTTCCCATTTGCGAAAACTCATCTGTTTTGTAAAACATGCACGAACATGTGCACGAACGAAAACATGATTTTGTAAATTCCATTAAACATAACAAATCAATTCTAAACTTGATGAAACTTTGCGAAATATTTGTAAACATGAAAACAAACATGTTAGAAAAAGAATTTCTCAAATTGAATTTCCATTTGTGAAAACTCATGTATTTTGCAACTGTGTCCAAAGCATGAAACTCAAAACCATGCATGTATATATATAACTATATATATACATAGAAACCAAATACGTGTGTGTATATGATATTGAGCTTAAGGTACTTAACACACATAATATAAAATCTAAACTAGATTACCCAAGCTTGATCTTGATCTTCATTGTAGCTCAACTTGGTACACATGCGGATGAAGCTTGAACTTGATCTTTAACTTTGAATTTCAAGGCTTCACTCCACTATTCCGCCAACCTCCATTGGATATGATTGTTGAAGCTCTATTCCATCCATCCTCCAACAACGTTGTTTGTCTACAAAACATAAGAATGCACAAATACTAGACAAACAACATTAGTAATAAATTGTTTGTTAGACATCATCAAAACAAGAAGGACAACAATCTCCCCCTTTTTGATGGTGACAAACAATTTACAAAAAAGAATATATGCATGAAGGAAATGAACATATATACAAGCATATAAACAAGGAATTGTATACTCACAATATTTCTCCCCCTTTGACAACATCAAAAAGGGGACAAAAAGAATAAGAGAGAGAAAGCTCCCCCTATCAATAAGCATTTGTGAGTATAAAAAGAATCTATATATAGGGATTGCTCCCCTATCAAAAAGCCATATAGAATATATGCAATGAGGATCATGGCAAACATATGTGAGCAAACATAGATGAATATGCTAAATATCACTCACATTCAAAAAGGCAATGAGAACACAATTAGATATGTCATTATGAAATAGTGTCTCATGACAAAAACCTATAAAGCATGTATAAAAGATTTATGAAGTCAAAAGAAGAAGAACATGAGAGTCATGCAAAAAGGTTTTCAAGTGAAAACAAATCAACCAAATGAAATCATAAATCACAAGTAAATCACATAAAACTAAATTATCATTGATTTTTTTTAAAAAAAATCAAGAGAGACAATCATATCTAGCTCTTGAGCTAATAATAACCCATATAAATATTTTTAGCACCCGGTAAACAATGTTTGGGAATAAACACCCAATAACTCCAGAGGGTTATATAAACGCAAGCCTCTTATCAATAATCATGAAAACAAAAGATTTTATCAATTATAAATTGTTTTCATATAAAAAGATTTCAAAGCATAATTTTCAAAACCAAGATAAAGAAGGATAAAAAACATTAAAATTCTTAGTTTGAAAATCAAATTTGTTTTGGTACCCAAGAACTCTTGGTACCAAAAGATTTAGGGACATGACCCCTATCATTTAAGCTCAAAGCCCTTGGGTTATGAACCCATTTGGGCGCATTTAGCGCACGGGTCCGGTCATAGCAATAATTATGCAAATGACCCATTCGATTGCAATAAGTGCAATGAAGAGGATGCATTTGGTTATGTTGACCATGTGGATGTGCACGAGAAACATTTGAAACATTTGCAAACATGGATGATCTTTTAAAATTATTTTGCAAATGTGAAACTCTCTTTAAATCAAAACAAAATTTGGCCAAATGACCAAATCTACCACAATGATCACATCTATACACATGAGCATGCTTATAATGAGCAATGGGTGCATGTGTGTGTACATGTGACGAAGAAACTTGATGAGATGCACAAGAAGGATTAGTATTCTTATGTTTTTGTGCATCATAGCAAAATTTAGCTAAATGGCCTTTACGACCACAAATGGAGCACTTGTAAACTTTGCTATACAAGTGTGCATAGTGTGTGGGTGATTTTGTAGCACTAGATTTAGCACACTTGTCCATAAGTTTCTTATGGTTATCAATGCATATTTTCAAAGTTGAATCTAAAGATGAAATACTATTTTTCATAAGATTCAAATCTTCATTTTTAGGCACATATGCATTTTTAGAAGTAGAACATAAATAATCATTTATAAAAGAAGCAGTGTTATTTTGTATGTTCTTTACTTCTAACATGGCATTATCTCTTTCATGAGTTAAACTAGCAACGTTTGAAGTTAAAGAAACATGATCCAATTTTAATTTTTTATTGTTTTCTTTAAGGATCACATTTTCATTAGAAATAGTTTCAAACTTAGATGCTAACAACTCATGATCGGATTTCAAAATTTCATGCTTGCTTTGTAAATTAATGAAATCATTTTGCAATTTGTTAAAGGCATGTAATAATTTTTTACTAGCACAAGCAAGTTCATCATTAGGTAAATCATTTATGGTTTCGAACTCGCAAACCTCACTAGGGCTATCGCCTAGTGGCCGTGTGCATGATGCTCCACATGAACTTGAAGCGGGATCCTCCAAAGCTTGTCGGATCGCCTCCAAGTCTCCTTGATGTGCTTCTATAAATATCCATAAGGTGTAAGCACTATCAAAATGAACAAACTTGTTAGACATAGATGAGTTAAAAGCATTTAACAAATATTCTAACAAAATGTTGTTCATAGTAAACATGCGATGATCATTTTTATTCCACTTGGATTTCTCCAAAATGGGCACAATATAAGCATCATCTATAATTTCCCATAAATCAAAATGTTTAGATCTAACAAATAGTTTAAATCTAACACACCATTGGGCATAGGGGAAATTGTCTAATCTAGGAGCAACACTAGAATCATAGCCTAAACAAGATGCATCATTCATATCCATAAATTGTAAAAATATGCAACCGTGTCTCCCTCAAGTGCTCGGTTACAACCTCTCCCTAGGCACGTCAACCGACGCCACTCCTCTTGGGACGATCCCCGACTCTCACCACACACTCCTCACTCGGTGTACAAGTGTATTACAAAGTGATTTCACAATTAAGCACAATATAGCAAATGATTGTTCTCTCT